TTTTTTTTTAAGTAAAAGTTGAAATAAATAAAAAAAAAATCTCTCTCTCTCTCTCTTCAACCATTAAAATATTCTTTAAGGTATAAAAAAAAATTAAATTATTATTATTAATACTACCCGAGAACAAACACAACAACAACAACAACCAACAAACTATAATTATTTTAAATAATTAAATTTCACACACACAGAGTGAAAATTTATTATATTTATTTATTCAATTATTATTATTATTTATTATAAATTCTCAATTGTAAATAAATAAAAAATTATTGATTGAATAAATCATTTATTATTATTATTATTATTATATTAATGTAATATACATAATAAAATCGATTAATAATTAATAACTTTTTCTCTCTCATTTAAAATTATTTTAATTTATATAAATTATTAAAAATGTCGCGCACGATAAATTTGAGTAATTTATAAAAAATTTTCCAGTTTTTTTTTTTTCGGGATTTTCCCCCCGAAAATGTTTTCAAATGCTTGTCACGAAAATACATTAATAAAATCTTATTAATTTATTTATTTATTTAATATTCGATGAAATTTTATTTAATAAAAGAAATGGAAAATGATGTGCAAGTCATTCAAATAGAAATTTCTCATATTGTATTCCAAAAAGTTTACACAAGTAGAAAAAAAAAAAAAAATGGCTTACGTAATATCTATCAATATTATTATTATTATTATTATTATTATTATTATTATTATTATTATTATTATTATTATTATTATTAAAATAATAACTTAGTCATGGTTTTTCTCCCACTGCTTTCTCCTTGACGCTTATATTTTCACTCTCCAAGTGTGAAAAATCATTTGTGGCAATAAAAAAAAAAAATTTTTTTTTCAAACTGGGTCATTGTTTATAAAAAAAAAAAAAAAAAGCGGGAGAAAATCCGGTTGCTATTGTTTTTATTTTAATCTATATTAAATAAATAAATAAATCGTGACAAAAAAAACGTTATTAATAATATTATTCGCGATACACAAAAAAAAAAAAAAAATGTAAAATTTAAATTAGTGGGTAGAAATTATATTTTGTAATATATAAATAATTAAGAGACACTAAAATTTTTTTTAAAACATGTCACAAATCCTGATCATTTATCTTATTTATAACCGTGATGGACATCATTTTAAAATTTTCTTCTCTCCCCCCCCCACCACCACCACCACCACTTGATTACCTTGATTTAAACAAATGTGCTAACAATATAACCGTCATCATCATCATCATCATCATCATCATCATCACAATTGTATTGAACTCATTTAACAATAATATAAATTTTTTTTGGTTTTGTCATTGTGTTAAAAAAATTTTCTCCAAAATTAATTCAATAACTATAAAAGATTCCATAATAAAAAAAAATGCCAAGGACCCCCATAAAAAAAAAAAATTTTTCTTATTTATTAAATATTTAAACAATTATTTTTTTATAAAATCGATTTATTTATTTTTTCGATAAATTATTGATTTTTTCCCCTCATTTTGTTATAGATAATAATAATAATAATAATAATTTATTAATTCTTTTTCTTTTATTGTTTATAAATAAATAAATTTTATTTACTCATGATATTATTATTTATTGTGTTTTAATAAGTTGATATATATTTTTATATCGTAAATGATGATAAACATAAAAATATATTATTAAAATTTAGAGAGAGAGAGAGAGAGCAATTTTTATTATTTTATCAATATGGCGGCTTCCCTTAATGACGTTATTATTGAACTTTGACATTAAAATGACGTGGTTATGCTCTAAATTTACGATTTGGACAAAGGGAAATAAAAAAATATATCGTTTAATAATTAATTAATAATACATAGAAAAAAAAAATTAGTTAAAATAATAATAATTGTTTTATTAATATAAGGAAGTAATGAAAAAAATATTTTCACATCAAAAAAACAACAATTTTTTTTTTGTTTATAATAAAAGAAAATTTTTTAAAAGTTAATGCCGTGAAAAACCCTGAATACTAATGTTTAAAATAATATATAATCCTTGAAAATCCAGAAACGAAAGCAATAGTCCAGAAAAAAAAGAAGAAAAATTACAAGGAAGTAAACAAAAAAAAAAAAAAAAAAAAACTAAAATAATTATTTAAAATCATCATTAATAAAATTATTATTATTATTACAGGTAATTAAATATTAATAATTTTTTTTTTTTATTACTTTTACTAGATGACAAAAAATTTTCTTTTATTATACCCAATAAGATTTTTTTAAATAATATCACGTGATTTATTATTAACCGTCACAAAACAATTAATAACGTTTTGAATCCCGGATGTGTAAATTTATTAAAATTTTCCCCCGAACCCCCCCCCCCACGAAAGAAAAAAAAAACGTTATATATTTTTATTTATTTATTGTTACTTTTGATAAATTAATATTTATAACAGATAACAAATTTTTTTTTTATATATATATATAAACAAAAAAAAAAAAAACGTTTAAAAAATTTATTTATGGTTGTATTAAAACTTGACTCGTTATTATTATTATTATCATCATCATCATCATTATTATTAAATATATATACGAGTAAAGTCGTTTTGAGTTGGGTAAAAAAAAAAAAAAAAAAAAAAAAAAAAAATTTTCTTAGTCTGAAAACGGATTTTCAAGTTTTTCGTCGTGATATTATTATTATTATTATATATATATCGAGTCGTATGAGACTCGAGACATTATTCGAAGACGATTTACATAAAATTTGAGCTTTATTAACAATGATGATTATTATTAACCTTGGAAAATCCTATTAAATTTTTTTTATTAATAAATAAATAAATATATTAATAAAATTTTTATTGTTTAGGGTGTGATCAGGATTTTTCTTTTTTTTTAAATTTTTACGGAAAATTTTTTTCTTTTCTCAAAAATTTTTTTTTTTTTCGGTTGTTATCAATCAAACATTTTAAATCCTTTGATAAAAAAAAAAAAAAAATTCAATAGTTTATTATTATTATTATTAATTTATTGTGATATCAAAATTAATTAAAATTTTTTTTTCGAAGTAATAAAAATGACGACGCGAATAATAATAATATTTCGTTTTTCGAAGGAAAGAAAATAATGAATAATTAAAACTTTCACTTTTCTTCTTATGTTTAAAAAAAAAAAATTAATGACATTTGACCCCCCCCCCGCGAACAATTAAAACACAAACTTTATTTTAGATCAATTTTTACATCCTTAAAAGTCTCCCCTCCCCTATCCCCTCCCCACCCCCTCTCTCTCTTTTTTAAGGATTTAATCGTTTAATTTATTGTTTTCAATATTTTTAAGTTTTTTTTTTTAAATTTTTTTTTTTTTCATCATTGCATAAATAATTATCTTTTAAATACTAAACAATAATAATAATAATAATAATAATAATAATAATGGTTGTTAAATAAAATAAATTATATGCGTTTTAGCAACTTTGTTTTGTCATTTATTTAAAAAAAAAAATTTTTTTTTGTAACCACGGTCACTGACAAATATTAAATTTTAAAAAAACTTGATTTTTATTTATTCATTTATTTATTTATTTATTTACTCAATATTATTATTATTATTTTGTTTAAATTAATTAAAGTAAATTAAAAAATTTTAATAAAAAAAAAAACAACAACAGGAGCAACTGATCAATTATTTAAACGTGAAATAAATTTAAAATAAATTTTCCGATTGGGGAGAAGAAGAGGGGAGAAAGGGGGGATGGAGAGGGGGGGGGAAATACATACACGCATTACCTTGCATAAAAAAAAAAAATGTGTTTTATGCAGGTACACCCAAAATAATAATTTTCACTTAATCGACATTGAAAAAAAATTAAGTAAAAAAAAAAAATTTGTTAAGCAACAGAATTACGAGACGCCTACTAAAAAAAACTCGCATTTATTTAAATTTAATAATAATAATAATAATAATATTTTTTTTTGTAAAAAATGTAGGAAATCCTTGACATTTCATTAAAATTGATGAGAAGGAGGTTTTTTAACATTACACCTCAAATATCTTCGTTTTTTTTTTTATTTAAAAGTTTAAATATTTAATAAAATGTTTAACCTATTAAATTATCATTTAAAAAAAAAAATTGCAATAAAGTTTTTACTTAATAACCGAAAAACAATAAAATTCATTTAAATTATTATTATTATCGAGTACATGACATATTTGATTTTATTTATTGTTGATAAGAATTTAAGTATTTGTCAAGAAAATGTTACACCCCCCCCCCCTTTTTTTTTAATAATTTTTAATGAAAATTAACGTTCGTTTGTTTCTTTTGTAAATAATAATAATAATGATTAACACACGCACACACACACACGCATAAATAAATAATTTTTTTTAAAGTTTTCCAAAGGATCAGAATAAAAGAAATTTATTAAAATCCAAATTTACTGTAATTAATATTAAGGAACCCATTATTTGAAGGTTGGTAAGTTTTACGCCCAAAATTTTATTTAAATCTACCGTTTCTTTTATTAATATCATTTTTATTTTATTTTTCCATGTGAATTTATACAATATCAAGGCTGTATATATATATAAAATTTTATTTTATTTTACCGTATACGATATGATGTTGCGCCATTTTACTCCTATACATAACCTATTTCATTTTATTTTTAAAAACTATTTCAACTCATTATAAAAAATATTAAATATAAAGATTTAATAATGATTTTATTTTATTCATTTTGAAAGTAAATTTTGGATTATTTCAAATCGTGGTAAAGAATGTGTTATAAATCTTGAAAAAAATAAAAAATAAAATATTAACTTACCTTTTCGAGGAGCGCAAAAATATGATGATGGGGATGCATCTACCAAATTCGATGAAATCTTTAAATAAATACAAATACGAAAACAAAAAATTTAATGTAAAAAAAAACTTTTGAAACAAATAACACAATAATGCACTTTAAATATTGTTCGAAAAACTAAAAAAAAAAAAAAACTTGATAAAACGTTTGAAATATTAATTTTGAAGTATGTCTTCCCCCGGAGCACCGACTAAAAACCATCGACATCGAGCCTTAACCGCTTCCTTTCTAACGAGTCGTTTTTTATCATCTAAACAAATTTCTAAATCGTAAATTACCTGAAAATTCGTAATAATTATTAGGGAATCCATTATTATTAAATTTAAAAAAAAAAAAAAAACCCAGTTTTTAAAACTCACCTTATTTTTATGGGGCAATAATAAAAATGTCGGGTAAAAACCGTAAGAAAATAAACATTTTAATGAATTTATACGAATTTTCATTGAATTTTCAAATTTTGACAATTTTAATATTCTCGGTATGAAATTATTAATATTGTCACCAAGAGTTTGATCTTTTCTTTCTAAAAGATTTTTTAGGATTTCTAAACTTGGCAATAAAATTTCTTCATCGTTTGTGCTTAAGCTTTGCAACAGCAGAGTAATAACACAACCGATATTTGTTTGTAGTAAATGAATGGGCACACCTTGAAGCAAACCAATCAAAGCCATCAAATAATTCATTTTAACACAATCTTGAGTTCCTTCGTATATTTCAAAAAGTTTTGGAAAATATTCGAATAACCTTTGACGATATAAAATCCTGAAAAAAAAATTAATTTTAAATTAAAACATTGGATACGTTTTAAATTTAAATGTAAAAATAAATAATTACCTGACGTTACAATGACTATCTAGAGTTAAATATAAATCCTCCGATGTGAATATTATCGGTAAATTTTTAACCATGAACCTTCCGATGTCTTCTCTTCCGATCAATTCGAACCATTTCACGATGCATTCTTCAAAAAATAAATTTCCTCTCAAAATGACACCTTTCATTATCCACGTGAATAAATAACTACAATTGAATTTCGATGAATTTAATGGACTATTTAACTGCATTAAAATGTGTTCCATTAGTTTTTTTAATAAAGTCAGAGCCAAAGATTCTTCCGTTTTGTTAATGAGCGTCGCCAACAATCGCGACGAAGACAAACGAATTAAATCTTCTTCGGAGTTTAAAGCGGTAACCATAAGTTTTTCTAAAACATTTGAAATGTTTGGAATATCTACGTTTGAATGAATAGAACCCAAAATGGCTTCGAGCAAAGGAACCTTAAAAAAAATAAAATGGTTCGTTAAAATAAAAAAAAAAAAAAATTAATTTCACGAGAATATAAAAGTACACGTACGGTAAGGCACATTTTAGGCGAAGACGTATTAATTATAACATCCCCTCCTCCTCCACCATTTAAATAAGGTAGATCATCAACAATTTTTTCAA